GGGAGGCCGGGTACACCTGGGGGGAGAGGAGGGGTGAATAGGAAATATGGGGGGACAGCACCCCAAAGTGGGGACAGAGGGAGATGCCCCAGCCCTGCAGCCCTTGCTAAGACCGGGATCAGCTGAGCCTGGCTCCCCCAGCCCTGCAGCCCTTGCAGTGGGCTCCAAGGACAATTGGCATTGCACGGGGGCACGATGCTGTGGGGCCACCACAGGGCTTCCCTTAAAACCAGATCCAGGAAATGGCTGGGCTCGTTAATTAGGACAGCTCTGTAACGATGCAGATGTGGTTGCCTCCAGGCTGGGTGGTCCATGGCGGAGCAGGAAGCTCCTGGGGTGCCCGTGTGCTCCGTGGAGCCCGTGGTGGAGCTGCTCCCCTGGGTGGATGGAGATGTCCCCAGGCCACCCAAGCCACTGGGGGAAGCTTTGGGCACCCTCGTCCAGGGGCAGCCATGCTCTTTCCACCAGGACCAGCAAGAGGGGTCACTGGGACCAGTGTGCAGGCCAGCCATGCTGGAAGGACGTGGGTCACCTCCCCGCTGTCCCTGTGTTCCCATGCAGGGACATCTCTGCAAGCCGAGGGCACGCAGCTCCATCCCCAGGACACCTCTGCATCCATGGGCAAGTGTCTGGGTGCCTTTCTGTGCATCCCAGCATTGCCTTGGCCTCAGCAATGGTGGTTTGAGTCCTCCACAGTGCAGGACACTCCCAAGGAGCCCAGATCCCACCATGCTCAACCACAGAAGGAAGAGCCCCCAAAATTGCCTGCCCAACACGCCGAGCTCCAACCCACCCCAGGCAGGGCTTAGGTTGTCCCCCACCAGGATGCACCTTACCTCGTAAGATGGTGATGTTTTTCAGCATCTCCCCATGCCGGACATCCACCACCTTCATCTCCTCCATGACCATGGACAGGTTGCGGATGTCAAAGTCCAGCCGGGCGCTAAGCAGGCTGTAACGCTCCCGCAGCAGGTCCGTGGTGCCCTGGACCAGGCTGAGGGACTTGTTCAGGTAATAGAGCTCCTCCGCGTGGGTATGGAAGCCCAGGGTGCAGGAGAGCCGCACGTCATCCAGGTAGCGCAGCATGCTGTGGACGTGGCTGTCAGTGGCGTTGATGTTGGCAAAGATGGTGCTGATCTCGATCTCGTGGGAAGTCATGCGACCTTCCAGGGTCTCGAAGCGCTCGGCCGTGCGGTTCTGCGTGTACCTGTTGTGGTAGCGCAAGTCGTTCATGTTCTCCTCGTGGTCATCCAGAAAGGAGGAGATGTTGTCCAGCTGCAGCTGCAGCCCCATCACCTGCAGCACCAGGTCATGCATGCTCTCTGAATTCTGGCCGACCTGCCGAACCGCCGCACCGACGCTGCCTTGGATGCTCTTCACCAGCTCGCTGGTCTTGGAGGAGGTGGCCCGCAGGCCGCTGAAGAGGCGGGTGTAGTTCTGCCACTCGGTGACGATCTTCTGCAGCATCAGCGTCTCCTCATCCGTCTTCCTCTGGATGACCTGGATCCAGTCGGAGGTTTGCCCCAGGGTGAAGTTCATCTGCTGCATGGCTGCTCGGACATCGTAGCGCTCCTGGGTCAAGCCCTTGAGAGAACTGTCTAGCTGGGAGGTGACCACCTGCCAGCCCCCAATCTGGGCCAGGAACTGCCCCAAGCTGTCGTTGACCTGCCGGATGGAGAAGGAGCAGTTGTCCACCTCGCTGGTGATCTTGTTGCTGGTGGACGAGAGCTGATCGTGGGTCTTGGAGGTCCGGTCGAGCAGGATTTCTTGAACCAAAAGCATCTTCTGGATCTCCTCCAGCTCACCCTGCAACTTGGTGATCTCCTGGCCCAGCTGTCCTGTCTCGTGGCAGAGGGAGCAGTTCCCTGAGGTCTTCTCATCTGAAAGAAGGGCAGACGGGTCTGTTACCCCACCCCATCCCTCACTGGGCGTGGAGACCCTCCTGCTGAGGAAGGAGCCTCACCATGGTTTGTCCTTGCAGACCCTGGAGATGGGCACTGCGGAGCCACCGCTGGGACAATCCTGATGCCACCAGCATCCCACCCTCATCCAGCTCCTGCCACCTCTGTGCGGCAAGTTCCCCAAAAAGCCCAACACCACCAACACCACCCTCGGGGTTGTACAGTTGTCCTTTCCCAAAATCCTGGGAGATAAGCGGGGGTTTGGTTCTAGGGGAGCCCCAGGACCTGAAAAGCAGAGATGCTTCTACTGGGTTCTGCTCATCTGGAGGAATACATGGTGCTGAAGCCTGGAGAAGACCTCCAGGTCCAAGTACAAGCCACTCACCCAAGCCCTGGAGGTCCTCCTGGATGGATACAATCTTCTTCTCATAATAGGTCTGGGCTGAGCTGATGTCGCTGGAGATGGAGTCGACTTTCTTGAACACTGTGGAGGAAAGGTGGAGGGTCAGGGAGGTGGGCAGGCACCGGGCTGTGAGTGTCTTCCACACCTTTCCTCCTACTTTGTTCCCTGGCAAGGAGGGTGGCCAGGACTTGAAGAGCTGGGTGGGTGGTGGGTGCTGGGTTCACAGGGTGGGTGTCCCAAGGGGCTTTTGGGTTTGGGGTTTGGCTACGGTCTACAAAGCATGTCTGGGGGGGAGTCCAGCCCTGGGGAGCACGCCATCCCTCTGCTGAGGGTAAAGCCATCCCCTGGCGAGGTGGCACCATGCACAAGGTCCCACATCCAACCCGGGGGCAGGTTGAGGGGGGGGGTGGATGCTCCTCTCCATGGCTGGGTGCTCAAGGTTCTTTTGGGGAGCCCCAGCATCCCCG